GTTGCTTACTCGATGGCTGGAGTGCCCAGGAACTGCTCAGTGGCTGCCAGGGGCAGGGGTTTCTGCAGGAAGGGGATCCACTTTTGCTTCAGGTAGTCCAGGTCTCTAGCTATGCTGAAGAGCAGGTCAGGGACAGGTACCTCAGGAACCTGGGGGATGCAAGACCAGGCTGAGACAGGGCCAGCCACAGCTTGGTTGGGCCCTTGCAGCCATGTTGGGGAGCAAAGTCCTGCAGCTCCCAGCCCGCAGGAGGCCCTAGCACTCAGCTGGGGAACAGAGCAATAAAAGCTGGAACCCAGAGCTCCTCAGGGTTGCAGTGCATGCTGGGATGAATAGGCCACACATGCAGAATGGAAAGAACTGGGCACGGATCTCCCGTGGCTCTCCCAGGCCTCTGAATGACAGACCAAGGCATATCAAGGCCCCACGGATAGCTCACTCTGGTGAGAGAGAACAGGGGATTCTGGGACAGCTAGTCCTGATGGGAACAGATCCCTACACAGGAAAGCAGGGTATGCTAGGACATATAACCCAAACTCATATGATTCACTGGGAAGGATCAGGGCATGCTGGGATACGTAGTCTCAAGACTCATCCTCCCCTTCACCCTGCATCACACCCCATCCTTATCCCCTTCCTCCTCCCCACATTCACCCCCACCCTCCCCACACTTCTTACATTGCTCCCCTCAATATTCCCCCAGCACTTCCCTCACAACACCCAGCCTCTGTGCAACCCCCTCCTCTCCCATCACCCCCTCATGGCCCTACAGCTACCCCCCACCCCAGACTCCAAGTGAGATGGGATGCTTTATCCCCATAGTGCAACCCCCAGGCTAAGGGGGCAGGGCTACCAAGTGCCTGGAAGCAAGCCCACTCACCGTGGGATCTGTGCTGCCCCCCCTGGTCGTGCTGGGCCCCTCCATTCGGGGGCTCCGGCACTGTTTCTTTCGGCTCAGCCTCTTCCTCTTAAGATCTGCAAGAAAGTTTGGTGTCACCTTGGCACTGGCCTACTCCATGTCCCCTCAGGGCCAACTAATGTTGAGGGGGAGGGTGTAGGCAGGGCTGGATTTAAAGGGCTCTGCTCGCCTCCTACCCAAGGCAGTAGCACAACCAGTCTCCCCCTCCTCTTGATCCTATCCTTTACCAGCCCTGCGGTGAGGTCCCAGAAGATACCTTTCTTACTGGCCCGGTCCTGCCATTTGCCCTGGAAGCTGGAGCTCACCACTTGCTGTATGGCCTTCTGCAGAGAGAGGAAGGCACTTAGATGAAACTAGTGCTGGCAGGTCCTCAAAGGGGACTTTGGCTTTCCCCACAGCACTGCTCAGGAGCAAACCCAGGAGATCAGACCCAAGGAAATGTGAGGGAGCAACGGATGCTTAGATCAGTCAGAACCTCCCCCCAGTTCAGCTCCCAGCAGCCAACAGGCAACAAGGACCTTACCATTATGACCTGGCCAGGGCAGAGGGGACCTGGCTGGCTTAGCTCCCTGTCCGAGGGGGCACTAGCAGGGTGCCCCTGCTCCTCATTGCCCCCGGTTGGGTCCTCTCGTGTGGGGGGAGGGGAATTCTCTTCCTCTTCCATGGCGGCAGTATGGAGTGGAGCCTGCAGAACAGGGAGAAGAGTCAGTGCCAGCACTGGCACACACAAGGTCATCAGTGACCAAACCACTGTGTTCACTCTACCAAGGAGTCCTGGCTCTTAGCACAACCCCTTCCCCCACAGCCTGGCAGCACCCCTACACTCCGCTCCCAGAGTCAGGTGAGAACCCAGGTGTCCTGGCTGTTCCAGTCTTCCAGTGCTGAAGTGATTATCGGGGACAACCAGTCCCTCAGATACACAGGTTACATCTGACAAGTTCCCTGTGAGTGACCCTCTCCCGACTTGCAGCCCCCTGCCAGTGTCCTTCACTCCCAACCCACAGGCCCCTGTCAGCTCAGCCCTGCCACTCCCATATGCCCCCAACCACTGTTGCTCCTGAGGCCCAGCCAGGGCCAGCCAACCCCTGAAAGAGTGCAGCAATTAATCCCTTCCTGTCCCACATCTTTTGCTGTTAGGCCACCAGCCAGGGGCTAGTGAGATAGAGCTGGTGGGGGGCACCAGAGGAGGCAATACCCACCCTCCAGAGCTGTGAGACTCTCAGCAGGCAAGAGGATGGCCATGCAGCAGTTCCCAGGGCCTCTGTGCCCAGCCGGGTCCTGTGAACCTGGTAGGGTGAGGGGGACCCCATGTCTTGGAGAGTGAGCCTGATATCAGCCTCTTTCTGCATGCATCCTCCTTTCTGCATCCCGGCCCAGCCCCCATGCCTGATCTGCTGTCCCTGGCCCCAGTCAGCCCCCCACACTGCACCTCGGACACACTGATCCTGTCCCCCCCGTCTTTCATTGCCCTCCCCAGCCCCCGTTCACTGCCCAATATTCCCCCAGCACCCACAAGGTGTGTGTGACCCCCTCCCCCAGCAACTCCACACTGCCACTCCCTCTACCTCCAACTTACCCCTCCCCTCCACATAACACCCCTCACTGCCCCT